TCCATGGTGTTTGTTGTTATCTCCCTTTTGCATTCCTGATTCTACTAATTTGGGTTTTTTCTCTCCTCATTTTAGTCAGGTTTGCCAGGGGTCTATCGATCTTGTTTATTTTTTCAAAGAACCAACTTTTTGTTTCATTAATTCTTTGTATGGTTTTTTTGGTTTCTATTTCGTTGATTTCAGCTCTTATTTTTATTATTTCTCTCCTTCTATTTGTTTTGGGATTTGCTTGTTCTTGTTTTTCTAGGAGTTTGAGATGTATCATTAGGTCATTGATTTGGGATCTTTCAGTCTTTTTAATATATGCACTCATGGCTATAAACTTTCCTCTCAGGACTGCCTTTAGCTGTGTCCCATAGGTTCCGGTAGGTTGTGTTTTCATTTTCATTGACTTCCAGGAACTTTTTAATTTCCTCTTTTATTTCATCATGATCCATTGTTCATTAAGTAATGAGTTATTTAGTTTCCAGCTGTTTGCATGTTTTTTGTCTTTACTTTTGTTGTTGAGTTCTACTTTTACTGCATTGTGATCAGATAGTATGCATGGTATAATTTCTATTTTCTTATATTTGCTGAGGCTTGCTTTGTGCCCTAGGATATGATCTATTTTGGAGAAGGTTCCATGGGCTGCTGAGAAGAATGTATATTGTGTAGAAGTTGGATGAAATGTTCTGTAGACATCAAGTAGGTCCATTTGATCTATTGTATATTTTAGATCTTGGATTTCTTTATTGATTTTTTGTTTGGATGACCTATCTATTGATGATAATGGGGTGTTAAAGTCTCCCACAACCACTGTGTTGGTGTTAATATATGCTTTTAGGTCTTTCAGGGTATGTTTGATGAAATTGGGTGCATTGACATTGGGTGCATACAGGTTGATGATTATTATTTCCTTTTGGTCTATTTCCCCTTTTATTAGTATGGAATGTCCTTCTTTATCTCGTTTGATCAATGTAGGTTTGAAGTCTACTTTGTCAGAGATAAGTATTGCTACTCCTGCCTGTTTTCGGGGGCCATTGGCTTGGTAAATCTTCTTCCAGCCTTTCATCCTAAGCCTATGCTTATTTCTGTCAGTGAGATGGGTCTCCTGTAAGCAACAAATTGTTGGATCTTCCTTTTTAATCCATTTCATCAAGCGGTGCCTTTTGATGGGTGAATTAAGTCCGTTAACATTAAGTGTTAGTACTGATAGGTATGTGGTGATTCCTGTCATTTAGTTGTCTTAGTTGTTTGAAGGTTTGATTGTGTGTACCTAAGTTGAGGTTACTCTCTACTGTCTTGCTTTTTCTTTTCCTGTGGTTCGGTGCTGCCTGTCTTTCATGGTTAAGTTGGGTTTCACTTTCTGTGTGCAGAATCCCTTGCAGAATCTTTTGTAGTGGTGGCTTTGTGGTCACATATTGTTTTAGTTTCTGCTTATCATGGAAGACTTTTATTGCTCCATCTATTTTGAATGATAGTTTTGCTGGGTAGAGTATCCTGGGGTTGAAGTTATTTTCATTCAGTGCCCGGAAGATCTCACCCCACGCTCTTCTTGCTTTTAATGTTTCTGTTGAGAAGTCTGCTGTGATTTTGATGGGTTTACCTTTGTATGTTACTTGTTTTTTCTCTCTTACAGCCTTCAATATTCTTTCCTAGTTTCTGAAGTTTCTGAATTGTTGTTTTAATGATGATATGTCGTGGGTAGTTCTATTTTGATCTGGTCTGTTTGGTGTCCTGGAGGCCTCTTGCATCTGTATGGGAATATCTTTCTCTAGATTTGGGAAATTTTCCTTATTATTTTGTTGAATATATTATGCATTCCCTTCAGTTACACCTCTTCTCTTTCTTCGATGCCCATGGTTCTCAAGTTTGGTCTTTTGATGGAGTCGGTGAATTCTTACATTTTCTTTTCACAGGTCTTGAGTTGTTTAATTAATAGTTCTTTGGTGAAAAATGGAAAAAAAATAGTTCTTTGGTTTTTCCTTTAATTACCATTTCATCAAGTTCTGAGATTCTGTCTTCTGTTTGTGCTATTCTGCTGGATTGGCCCTCCATTTTGTTTTGTAATTCTGTTTCGTTCTTTTTCTGAGGTTTTCCATATCCTTGGTGGTTTCTTCTTTAATGTTGTCTATTTTTGTCCTGAGTTCATTTATCTGTTTATTCATCGTGTTTTCTGTTTCACTTTGGTGTTTATACAGTGCTTCTATGGTTTCCTTTATTTCTTCTTTTGCTTTTTCAAATTCTCTATTTTTGTTGTCTTGGAATTTCTTGAGTGTCTCCTGTACATTTTGGTTGACCCTATCCAGTATCATCTCTATAAAATTCTCATTGAGTACCTGTAGTATGTCTTCTTTTAAATTATTCTTGTGTTCTTCATTGGGTCCTTTGTCATAGTTTATGTTCATTTTTTTGGAGTCTGGACCTGAGTATCTGTTTTCTTCATTCCCCTCTGGTTCCTGTACTAATTTTTTGTTGTGGGGAAACTGGTTTCCCTGTTTTTTCTGTCTTCCCATCATGTCTTTGGTGTTGTTTCTGTCCCTGTACTGTGTGCAATTAAGTATTTTCTAGCTTGTAATAATAACAATGGTGATATTTAGAATTGAAGGGTGAGCGGAGATGGAAAGCAAGAAGTTAAAGAAAAGGGAAAAACAAATAAACAGACAAGAAGGAGAAAATAGAACAAGGAATCAGACAAGAACATTTCAAAGGTATAAACAGGGAGCCTTAGTGTACTAATCAACAGTAAGCTGAACAGGCATTAGAGAGACAGAGAGAGGATTGAAAATAAAAAATTTAAAAAAAAGATAAGAATAAAAATAAAAAATAATGAAAGAAATATCTATATATGAAAATAAAATAAAATAAATTGAAAAATAGAAAAAATTTTAAAATACCAAAAAACAAAAAACCCAAAAAACCTCCAAGTTCAAATGCAATGAAGTTTCAGTCTTAATAATTTGGGAGTCTGTCTCAGTCTCCAGTCCTGGAGATGGTGCCTCAGATGTTGTTCTGTAGTTGTCTCATCAAAGGTGACGCTTAAAGTAGAACAAAACTACACACACACGCACAAAAAAAACCCCACCAAGTGTCTCAAGTTCAAATGCAATACAGTTTCAGTAAGTTTTTCAGCATGCAGGTGTAGTTCTGTTGTTCTCTCATTAAAGGTAGGGAGAAAAAGAGAAAAAAAAAAAGAGTCTGGAGACAGTTCTGAGAATGGTATCTGCGGCTGTGGCTTATCTGCCTGCTGCTGTCAGTCTGCTGTTGCTGGGGGTGTTATTTATGCAGATCTCTGGGGTGAGCTTAGCACTCACCTGGCCCTGCAGGCTTTGTTTACTCAGAGTTCTCCTGTGCGTGAGCCTCTGCTACAAGCTTTCCCCTTTCCAAGCACACTGGGAAAGGTGACACTGCACCTACTTTCTCAGGCCTGCGTGTTTATTTACAGTTCATGTGGGAAATGGGTCTTCCCCCCTCTCCTGTGCAGTTTTCCTCCCACTGCCACTTTTACAAGTTTTCCTGCTCCTGATTACTGGGTGGTGCTGCTGCTCCTGCCAGCCGCCATGTTTGTTTACCGTTCACATGGGAAGTGGGTGTTCTTTCCTCTCCTGTGGAGTTTTCCTCCCTCCGCCACTCTTACAAGCTTTCCCGCTCCTGGTTGCTGGGCGCATGCCCCCGCTCCCACCGGAGCCTCTCCTGCCCACCCGGCTTGTTTATTTACAGTTCCGGGAAGGATTCCCTACCCCCAATCTTCGGCACTCAGTGCGCTCCACCCTCTTTCCTGCGTGTCTTTATTGCTCTTATTGCTTATTAGTCAGCTTCTCTTTTTTCCCTGGGTGGAGGTCAGTCTGTCCAGGGGGCTCTGCTGATCTGGCCCAGGGTTGTCTGCGGGAGTACCACTGTACTGCGCAGCTCACCTTGTCCGTGTCTTCCCAAACTGTCTGGGCACGGGTGACTGGCAGCCTGGGGGCCTCCCTGTTTCTCTGTTATTGTGAAGTGGAGATTCTCTGCGCCAGCTGGAGGTGTGGAGGGGTAAAAGTTGTGCCTCTTCTCAGTGATTTTGCCTGCAAAGTGTGTCTCCAGCGTCTCTCCAAGATTTCACAATAGGAGGCTCGCTTTCTGCTTCCTCCCTCTAGCTGCCATCTTGGAATCTCCCGTCATTTTCTTTCAGGGCTGAGATGTTCAAGATGGGCTTTTATACACACAGCTATTTGGTGATATCATATAATATCTTCCTCAAACTATAGTGCAAATCTAAACTTTGAAGACTGTAAAAGAAATGTACCTAAACAGGAAGTGAAAAATAGGAGCTTCTTACTGAGCCTCAGGTTCAATCTTGTTTTGGTGGCTTTTATGTTCTGGTGTAATAAAAAGTACACATGTTAGTCTACAATTGTGTCATCACTTATAATAGAGAATGCCTCCTGTGTAGCACTGAAAAGCACTCTTCCTATTTGTAAACCAGTTATAGAAGAGATGAAGAGATCTTTGCATAGTTAAGGAATCAGGGCACCTGGTTAGTCTAGACAAGTCTAATTTTGATATTGTTGGCTAAAAGTCATAATTCCTACATTAGGAATGTGGAATTTCAAGTAAGTTATGGAAGGGCAGAACTTGTTCTTTTCATACCTGGTGATATTTATTTAAACATTAAGTAGATGCCCCACTTCAACTACATTGAAGTGACTGACTGTTCACAAACAGCTAAAGGAAGATACAGAGCGAGGACCCAGCAGCCACCAAGACTACAACAAATACTCAGCCTGGAAAAGACCCAAGGGTCTTCTATCACTGATACATGGCCAGAAAGCTATCTATTGTACCCATCCACCCTCGCTGTGCCTAGCAACTTTCCTCTGTAAGAGGAAAGAATTAGACTGGAAAAGAGTGGGGCTGATGCATAGGAGTTTTATTTTCCTTTGTTTTTTCTCCAAGCAAGGTTGAAGAAAGATTTCCTTTATTTTTTTAAGGTCATCTTTAAGAAATGAGACCACCCAAATTTAAATTTAAAGAATAATGTATACCCACAAAATCAGTTCATTTTTATTTTTTAATGAACATTTAAGATTCATATACAAAAGCTAACAGAGCAATAAGTCAATCATGAAATACGGACATGGAAATAAAATGCAAAATTACTCAATTACAAGTTCTCACCACTGAAGCACTACACGCCGGTGCGAGAGGCGGTCAGTGTTCCGGAGACAGTGAGTGCAGGATGTGGTCAAAGGCCAAGAGTATCATAAAGCCACTTTTTCTTTTAGTATCTCTGCCATCGTTTTAATTACTGGAGGGTCTGGACTGGGCTGGAAATAAATTCCATTTCCAAAAGAAATGAATTTTTAAGCAGTTAAATTTTTCCTTGGTGAAATATTTGATGTGCTAATCTAACATACTATGTATTTCTGTTATTAAATTCATCTGCATAAATGTTTGCCTACTCTATTTCTTAATGTCGGTTCATGCAGTACTTTCCTAACTTCAGAACAGGAAGAATCATCAAAGGCAATTAATTTTGGACATAAATGTCCACTGTTACCTTTTACTGAAAAATGTGCTCTCTGTGATCTTTGTTTCTTGCGGTAGTTGGTCAAGTAATAATCATGGAGCATTTCCTAAAATATTTATCTGCTGGGAAAATTTGTATGAAATGACATTTGAAGTATAAAAAACATTTTTAGGTAACACTTGGAACAGTTAAAAATATACTTATCTTGTTTGTAAACTATCAATGTCAAGATACTGAGTGTCTGGGTGTCAATCATTGCCTCCTGTTTTTCTAGAAAGTTGTTTGCTTTATCAATGGGATATCTTCGAAACATTTAAAGTTACATGTAGAAACATCAAGGCAATATTACTTGTACATATTATTAAACATGCAAAACTTTCCTGAAAGATAGTGTCCAAATACGAAGAGTCCTTCTGAGCTCAGCCTCTCCTTGGTACCATTTCAAGGGAAGTATGGCTTCCTGGGACTTAGAGAGTACAGTGGCTTATTTTGGAGAGGCAGCCCCTTTAATCACAGGTTCCCTATTCAGATACGTTGCCCAGTAAACTAAGTTGAAAGTGCCGAACAGAATGGGGAACACAATTCGGGACATTTTGTCAATCTTGCTGATGCTGTTGTAGGTCTTTTTACTCTCAGAAGTCTTCTCTTCTGGAGGTTTCACAGAGACTGCAGATGCATTCACAGTCCCTGCTGGGGTCTGTTCCTTTGGGATGTTTGGGGGATGGGTCATCTTTCCAGTAGTAAAAGCATTTGTTGACTTATTTAGTATGAGTTCACGTTCCTTTTTCTGCAAAATGTAATAAGAATGTAAGGACATGCCACTTTGCAGGTACTTCCTCCTGAACTCACATGACAACTTCAATTAGTGTAATGGTCTGTCACCAGCTCTTCTACTTCAGACTTGGCCATCTCCAATCTATCACTGTGTAGCCATCTAACACCCAAACAGCTGGCAAACATTTCCCTTCCAGTGACATGGAGTAGGGTGTAGGAGGCTTCCTGTTCCCAGGCCCCACTCTGGTTCCTCCACCAGAGGAACAAGAAGCAAACATGCTTCCTGGTTCTCTTGTCTGCTTCCACTAAGACCTTCATAGCTTGAGGACACCCATCTCCACAAATGTTTTCCTAGCTTCCCACCAATTACCCACCATAATTGGACCATCCCACCTCTGTTGAGCAGAAACATACACCAGGGCAGATGGGCAGTGACCACAAGTGTATAAGCATGGTATTAATCTGTTAGCATGAACTGCTACTTAGGACTAGAGAGAACTTAAAAAACAACTATGTGCATACCTATGAACCTTTTAATTGTAAAGCCCTCCCCCCATCGTCCTCTCCTTCCCCTCTTCCAAGAGAGGGCAGGTCCTGCCATGCCTTCCTGCAACACAGCAGGCTAGACATGGAAGTGGAGCTCCCATGGTGCACTGGAGTCGACTGTTGACCTTGAAAATGAGATGAGTTGGATGGTCGAGTCATAACTTGTGGGTTTACTCAGGAAAAGAAATATAGTGTCCCATCCAAGAGCAAACTAGGACCATGGCTGGAACAACACTGGGTGCCCTCCCTGGAATCCTGCTTGCTGACTGGTGTTTGACTCCTGCTGGGAGTCAACATGTAAGTGTACTAGGTAAGCCCTTCTGGGACTCCCTTCATGCTGATTTTCCACGGTTGAGATTAAGGTTTCCTCTCAATTCTACTGGATGTTGTTGACCTCCCCTTCTCTCAGTACAAAGTATTTGCCTGTTTGTTCTATGCATGGTATAATTAGAAGTTTATCATAGGCTGTTTCCTTGGTGAGATGAGACTCACCAAGGAAATGATTTAGCTTGATCTTGTGCAATTCTTTTTCCTTCAAATGTTCCTTAGATTTGGGCACAAATCATCTGATAAGTACTCAGTGATTAATGGTGTGAGCAGAGTAACAGTTTTCACAACAATTCACATGCATAGTTCAGTGAGCCTAATCATTTAGTCAGGACAGGGTAGGTTTGGTGATAAACTGCTTCTGTGAAGCTGTATTCTCCATGATTGGAATGCCACCCTGAAGAAGATACACTGCATAGTGCAGTGGCAAAATGATGAACCAGAGCATGAACTGTACAATCAAAACCTAGGAAAGTTCTCCCTGAAGAGGCAGGAGTTGTTTGTGCAAAAATAGCAGGCTTGGACTGGAGGTGTAGCTCAAGCAGTAGTGCGCTTGCTTTGTGTGTGAGGCTCAAAGCCATTCCCACCCTTCCCAAAAAAAGGAATAAAACATAATAGGTGTGACTATAAATAAGCCAGAGCCGTTCACGTAACACCAGACCTTTTGCTTAAATGAAGTTGGTGATGTAAAATAATTAGACAAGTGACCTGTTGTAAGTAGGAATTTGTAGGGACCCTGAATATAAGGGAAAGCATCATCTTGAAGCTGGGAGAGAAGAAGAAAGAAGAAATCCCATGTCTCATATTTGGACCCAGAATCAGGAATGTTTTCTCAGTCAGGGAATCCAAAAGAAAGCAGTAGGAAAATGAAGGCAGTACCTTGATCTTGGCTGCTTCCAGGGCTTTTTTGCCATCCCAGGCCCAGCCTCTCTTTGTAAAATAGTTGACTGTAGCGAACTCAATGAGCGCAGAGAAGACAAAAGCATAGCACACAGCGATGAACCAGTCCATGGCGGTGGCATAGGCCACTTTGGGCAGGGAGTTCCGAGCGCTGATGCTGAGTGTTGTCATTGTCAGCACTGTGGTCACCCCTATAGGATCAGGTGAGGACAGAGTGGAGAATGGAAACAGAGTTCAGTAGGGTCCCCAGATCCTTGGTGTTACACCCCTGAATATGATAGGCAGACACAAAAGGGACTGCTTACTTTCACCCCAGCCTATGCCTTCCTCCCTACATATGTTCACAATGTTTAACATGTTCTAAGCATTTTACAATATTGCTCATTTTATTGATTGTGATTCCCTCTAGAGGAGGGAATGGATTTTGATCTGATTTATATAAAGCTACGTCACCATTGGCTTGAACGAAACCAGCAAATTGTTCAATAGAGTTGGTTTTGTTTTGTTTTGGAGTTGGTTTTTTGAGGCAAGGTCTCTCTCTGTGGCCCAAGCTGGCCTTGAACTTACAGTCCTCCTGTCTCATGGATGTGTGCCATCACGGCTGGTTTAACAAAGACATTTTGAAAGAGTGGTGTGTCTTTGTAGCACAAGGGACACAACCAGTGGGAAAATGGCATGACATTCACACAGCACATAGTAAAGTGCTTCATGAAGATTTCCTGTGTATCTTGTAGGTAGCAGGCTACAGGCAAACTGATGAGATGCATTTCTTTTCTATGACTGACCCCATGTGTACCTTCCAGGAGCCAGAGTGCAACTGTAGCATGTAGCTCAGTCTCAGTCCAGGCACTTCACTCTGTCAACCAGGGAGCAATGTACACTTAAGGCTGATGTTGCCTCTGGGGAAACACTGCAGTGACCACACAGCAAAGCCAGATTTCTCAGAGTGGAGCGCCTTTAGGGCTGGCAGATTATGGGCCATCTGTGGCTGCATCTGCTAGGTATCGGCCTCTGACTCGAGCAACATTCTGGAAGGCTGTCATTATCCCCATTTTGCAGGAGGGAGATAAAGGTTTAATGGTATTACCCAAGTTCACCTGCTATCAAACAGAAAAACCCACCTTTGGAATCAGGTCTCTGGACTCTCATAATCCACCTGTCATCCCTTCTCACAGTAGTTTTGAGAATGTGTACCTGTGGTTGTAACATACTTGCTATGGGTCAAACTGTGTTCCCCTTAAAACTGACATGTTGAAGTGCTAACCTCCGGTAAGTCAGAAGGTGACCTTTTCAGAAATAGTGTCTTGACAGAAGTAATCAAGTTAAAGTGAAGCCATAAAGAAAGGCCCTAATCCAATATGCTGTTCTTTTAGAATGGGAAGGTTTGTAGGCTTACACACAAGGTGGAGGCAAATACACACACACACACACACACACACACACACACACACACACACATCATGCAAATGCTGGAGTCCTGTTGTCACCAGACAAAGAGCTAGCAGAAGCATGGTCAGAAGCCTGGAACAGATTATCCTCCACAGTCCTCAGAAGGAACAAGCCCTAAGGACAGCCTACTCTTGGCCTTCTAGCCTTCAGAACTTCGAGATAATGAACTTCTGTTGTTTAAGCTATCCAGCTTGAGAACTTTTTACGGAAGCCACAGGACACCAGTACAGCACCAGAGGAGTGTAGCATTGCTAGTGGTCATAACAACTGTTAGTTTTGCTGCAGCCCATCCTTCAACGGCAGGTACACATACTCATCAAACATGGAGCCCACATGGAATTGATGCCTAAGAGACACGAGTAGTTAACCGCCGTGCTGGGGGAGGAGTTCGGTGTACGAGCTCAAACAGGCCTCTTAGGCCTTCTCTGGTCCCCTAAATTTGAACATGCATTGGAAATCTCCAAGACAAAATAAACCATGAGTGAAAACACTATTTTTCAAACTTTTTTCCTTGCTTGGCTACTAAATTTCCACTAAAGAGTGGTACATTAATGCAGGTAGAACTGCCTGGCCATGAGCCATCTTCCACACCTTCCTGAAATACCCTGAGGGCAGTCAGAGTAGGCAAGTGAAGTGGACAGTTAGAGGAACTCCTGTGCCTGGGGATGGAGAGCTTCCTACACACTATGGAGAATTAAATAAAATGCCTATGAACATCTTCCACCTTTTGAAGGGAAGGAAACTGCATTAATTAGCAAGAGCTAATGTGGGAACTGTACTTCCTAGTACAAAAAGATGCAAGTATCTGGTTTCATGACTGCCCTGCAAAACTACCTTTAGCATCTCATCTCTAATGGGAAGAAAGTGGGTGTTATGGTTTGGACAGGTGTCCCCCGAAGGCACATGTGTTCAAGGCTTGGTTCCCAACCTGTGTGGAGAAGGTAAAACCTTTAGGTTGCAGTGCCAAGTGTGAGGTTTTGCAGTCACTGGGGACATGCTCAGGATATCTCTCTCTCTCTCTCTCTCTCTCTCTCTCTCTCCCCTCTCTCACACACACGTATCTTTACTGTGAGGTGAACAGTTTCAACATACATTCCCACAATTAAATGCTGCCTCACCATACACCCCACAACAAGGCCAAGCAACCACGGACAGAAACCTCTGAAACTGTAACCAAAATAAACCTCCCTTTTCTAAATTGATTGACTCATGTATTTTGCTACAGTAAAAGAAAGCTGACTAACACAATGATTTCAAGGCGATAGTCAGAGATGCTCAACTCTGTCCACTGTGCCAAGGAAACGCCAGAGCTAGAATTTTCTACACTTAAGGTCTTATGGATGTAAAATAATGTTTTTCTAGATTCTTATTATATATGGTTAGTCACGGGCATGTGTAGGGGATTGGGTCCAGGTTTAAAATTCTGAAATCTATGCATGCTCAAGAACCTTACATAAAATGGCACAGAAATTGTATATGACCTATTCCTATCCTCCTGTATAATTCCTTATACAGTGTACAATATTGTAAAGAGTTGCTATACAATATTGTTTAGAGATCAATGACAAGAAAAGTACTCTGTACATGTTCAGTATACAAGCAACATTTTCAAATAATTTCCATCTGCAGTTGGTTGAACCTGAAGATGTTGTGTGTGTGTGTGTTTAATATATGACTATCATATCACCTATAATGTATTGATCACCACTCAGTGGCTGATTTTAAAGTGGCATGCATATTTCAAAGGACACCACCTGATACGCAAATGAATATTTTATAAGCATAGTAAAAACACTACTGCACCTGGGCTGGGGGTATAGCTCAGTAGTAGAATACTTGCTTAACATGCACAAAGACTGTTCAAATCCCAGAAGCAGGGAAAGGGAAAGGAAGGGGAGGGAAGGGAGAAGAGGACAAGGGTGAGGAAGAGAGGGGAAGGGAGGGGAGGGGGCTGGCATAGTGGTTAAGTGGTAGAACACCTGCCTGGCAAGCATGAAGCCCTGAGTTCAAACCCTAGTACCACCAAAAAGAAAAAGAAAGGAAAGAAAGAGGGAGGGAGGGATGGAGGGAGGGAGATTCACAGTTTTGAAGGTTGTAATTCATCATTAGTTGGCCCTGTGGTGGTGAGGCAGTATATAATAACAGGGGAATATGGGGGACCAATGCTTCTCCCCTCATGGTGGCCATGAAGTGAACGAGAGGAAGAGACTGTTGTTCCACAATACCCCTCGAGGGTACACCCCCACTGACCTACCTTCCTTCCACTAGATGTCACCTTCTAGAGGTTCTACCACCTCCCAACAGCATCAAGCTAGGGCGGAAATCTTAACACCTGGATCTTATGGGGACATTTAAGGTGCAAACCATTGCAGTGGTAGTGGTGACAGTTGCTTTGGGGATAGTTAGGACCAGTTACATGACAATAATGTCTTAATCCTGCTTGGGGACACTTACCAAAAACTGTCCTGGCTGGGACAGATTCTCGATTTAGCCAAAAAGACACCTGGGATAAAATCACTGTCATTATGCAGGGAAGGTAGGTCTGGATGACAAAGTACCCAATCTTCCTTTTCAGGTGGAAATGAGCCGTCATGATTGTGTATTCACCTGCAAATAAGTAAATCAATGCACATCAGTCCCCTAAGGTGTGACAGTCCTAGGCTACTGGTTCCTGCTCTAATTCAAGAAGTTCTGCCGTCACCTTGGACAAGTGTTTGTGTTATTTCCCTTAAGGAGAAGGCAGAGGAGGATGTAAGAATTTCTTATCAGTCCTTTTATAAGCAAATCTTTTGAGCTCCATAGTCTCTGAAGAGCCTCTGATGGATGCTTTTCCCAGAGAAAATCAGATTTATGTGTTTCCCTAATCCCTGGTCACAATCTGTGTCATGCTCCCCGCCCCACCCCCGACCCTGCCCTCTTGCTTGCTTCAGCTGTCAGGATTTTGGGATTTAGCCTTTGAAGTTAGAGTGAGGTCAGCTCAGAGCCCTGTTGTGAGTGAACAGAGCCTTCCTATTTCCCAGCTGGGGTAGCTCCTGGGAAGGGGGCAATTCCTACCCCCTAAGGCTCTGTGCTCACCCATCCTTTGTGGAGGGTAAGGAACAGCAGCTCAGGAGTCCGAGGATCCTGCCAGTTCATTCCTTCTGCTACCCACCAGAGAGACGAGTGCCCGCTGTCCACTGAACCTGGGGGCATTTCCTTGTGATGTCCCAGTGCCTTCTGTGGATTTGCCTGGCTGTATGGGAGGCAAGTGGAGACCTCCCATTTTTTGCTGAGAATGATGCAGTCCTGATGGTTAACTGGTAAGGAGCTGAGGTGGGCGGGCTGCTGGTCAGAGGGATTTGAGGCTTACTGGACCAGAGTCTCAAAACTACTCAGATGTGCGTCCTCCTGGAGAGGTGGGAAGAAGGCTTTGAAAAGTGGGGCTGAGTTGAGCTGATCTGCGGACACTTTGTTGGCTGAATGACAAGGAGTGGGCAGCATGGCCTGAGGGCTGTACTGTCCTGTGATCATGGGGAGGAGTCTCATATATGAAGGGAGTGGTCGGCTGGCTGTGTGGACAGGGTAGAAAGGTGTTGGAAGCTGATGATAGCTCCAGTGCTTACTGTGCAATCAAAGCCCACAGCTTACAAGGCCACTGAGGGTGTTCCTAAGTGCCATTTCTCACATCATATTGTCCATTAGGGACAAAGGAACAGTAAAGATCACGTAAGTAGAACCTGCTCTTACACAAAAGGAGCCAAAATTCTCAGCAGTGCTTGAGACGTGCCACAGTGGTGTGGCACCCTTTTACCATAACACCAGGCAGGTTGAGAGCAGGTGGAGGAGGGGTGAGTGGCTTCAATATGGGAGAAAGAAACAGGATGAAAAGAAGGGGAGGGATATGTTTAGCAGCAAAGGTTACATCTTCAATGATCCAATTTTGCCTCTTCTTAACACTGAAGATATGAAACACCATTCTACTTCTTTACTGTCCAACCTTCATTTTTTCTTTCTCACTTTGTTTTATTTTTTAGCTGGAGGTAGCAAAATCAAGTAATGCTTTTTAAAATGCTCTTTTGAGAATACAAATGGGGCAGAAACTTCAGTTCTAAATTTTTAAAGAACTATCTTCAACAACTCCAAGTGGCAGCATTCTATGTCAGCACCATCCTTTCTCCTTACCTCAAACATCTGCCATATCACCTTGTCACACACGTTCCATAAAACCAGGCCCATTTCCACTTCCTTTCCCTTGGTATAGTAACGAAAAAGGGAAGCTCTTATGTCCATCAGGGATGCCACACCTCAGGGGCATGGGTAGGCCACACTTGTGCATATGTGCATGAGGAGACACTGCCCTAGAGGTCCTGTGTGCCTCTGCTAGCTGCCAGGTACTGGCAAACAGCAATGCTGACCAGGGACTCCCTTGAGGACATGGTCTGAGACTTATAATACATTCTTCAGTCTGGGCTTGCTCCATCCCTTTGTGCTTTTTGCCTCTGCTATATGGAGACTCTTTGTAGCCCCAAGTTTCACCCTCCCCTGCCCACAGCACCACTGTGACTGCCACAGTCAGGTCTGCCCTTGGCCAGGAGACAGCTGACCACATAACTTCAAGATCTCAGAGGTCAAGTGCATGCTATTTCTTTGGACTCCCCACCTGCCTGCATCATAGCAGGGGAAGCCAGGCTCAATTGATTTCTCCTGCAGGTCTCAGGCCTGTCCTGTGCAGTTGGGACTGAAACCCTGCCTTCTTCTCAGCACCACCTCAGCTGTTCCTTTCATGCTGCTTGGTTATAATTTCCCAGATTCAACCCCAGGGAAATCTCTGAAATGTTCAGAGCAGGTGGCAGAGGAGCAGGTAGCTCTACTTTCCCGCAGAGACTGCTGCGTGTCTCACTGCTCAGGCAGGGGTGTTATATAAGCAGGTCCACGTGGTCTCCGGACAGAGACGGCTCAGGAAGTAGCAAGTGCCCAGCAGGATACGGTCTCGCACTCCCTCCAAGCTGCTGGCTCTTGCAGCTTCAACCCCAGTGCTTGCACCCCTCCAGCATGGCCCTACAGAGCAGGACACAATGTCCTCTGGTCCCGGGCAGCATGGTGGACATGGGCTCTCACCTGTGCTGGTGCTGATGTTCTCGGTGCCCACTGTCTGCCCCATGAGGTGGTACTGGTTCAGTCTGGAGCCATCTTCTGCCACTACCACAGACTTAGTGGAGCCATTGGTCCAGACATACACGACTTCAGAATTAGGGTATGCATCTGTAGGGAGGGGCAGAATGTGGCACCATCATGGAATCATTCCCAGCCAAGAAAATGCAAGGATGTTGATAAAGGCAACGAGAAAGATGGAAGGAATTTGGGAGGTCAGTGTTAAGAGGTAGAGCGCGCGTGGAGTGGTTATACCAGGGGCACTGCAGTTCAGCCCTTCCCATTTCATAAAGGTTGGGCGCTCAGAGCCTGGTACCCTTGCTTCTTGGCATGTGTTCCCTTTCCACCTACAAGCACCTGCACCCCTCAGTGCTGTGATCTTGGAAAGTCACTTATTCCCTGGGACTCAGCTATAGAATGGGGGATAAAGACAGCTGCTTTTCAAGGCTCTGCTAGTGACTTACAGAGTGACAAATGTGTGGAGCACTGACCAGGTTCTTAGTGTAAAGCTTTCCTCTTTCTCTTCACAAAAGCATGTATCTGTCCATACTGTCCTGAGTAGGAGGGTGGCAGGGCAGGCAGGACCTGTGTCCCCTCGTGTCACACCTTACATGGCAGAAGGCACTATGCAGATGGAATGAAGGCAATGGGCCTTAAAATCAGGAGATTATCCTGGATTATCCTATCAGGTCCAATCTAATCACAAAGTAGAGACCTTTCTCAAGCTGGAGGCAGCAGAAGAGATGTACGTGGAAAGGACTCAGCATGACCCCCAGGTGACAGTTATCAAGGAGTCAAGTACTATATCATAACAACCACATACAGCTGAGTCCTGTCCACCACCTGAACGCGACTAAGCAGAGAAAAATACAGCCCTGCCAACAATATGATTTGGCCTTGTGAGACACAGACCAGACCAGAGATTCCAACCAAACCCACTGGACTTCCGGCTTACAGAAGTGTGGGGATGCAGATGCATTATTCTGATGTTAGGTTTGTGATAATTTGTCATAGCACCAATAGAAAATTGGACAAGCAATATGGAGAGCAATCAGAAGTCTGAAAGAAATTTGTGTGCTGGAGGAGGGAGACAAATATCATACACAAAAAAATCTCTATACTATGTGAACTGGCAGTAAGTGCTACAAAGGAATGCCAGCTATGAAGAGAGAAGAGACACCATTTTTTGTTGTTTCTGTTGTTTTGAGACGGGGTCTTGCTATATAACCCAGACTGGCCTGGAATTCGTTATGTAACCCAGCTAGCCTCCAACTCGTGATCCTCCTGCCTCTGCCTCCCAAGTGCTGGGATTACAATCATGGTCCATCACACCTAGCATGTGAGGCACCATTTTAAATGGGGTGACTCAAGAATGCCTAACTTAGGAGATCCAAAGTTTGTGCAGGAGCCATCCATGTGGACCTTGAGAGTAAGATAGTCCCAGGCAAAGGGAACTGCAGGTCTAAAGGTCCGGAGGCAGGAGCATGGTGAAATGCTTGAGGAGAAGCTGGGCATGCAACAAACAGAGCAGGGAACGACCAAATACAATAGACATACAAGACCATTCAAAGGCCTTCGACTTTTCAACCAAGCCAGGAAGACATAGAAGAGATCTAAGCAAACAAGTAACCTATTCTAACTTAGGCAATTAAAGGACTACTGTGGCCAAGTGAGGAGAAAGAATGTAGGTGGGACAAGGATGGAAATAAGAGGGCAATATTAAAATTATCCAGGTGAGAGATGATGGGGGTCAGAGAAGGGAGAAGAGAAATTAGGGGTATACTCTTCTAAAAAGCTGATCTGATAAATGGGGTATGAGCTGTGTGAGGAAGATTGCAGTTGCTTGCACCGAGAGGAAAGTGAGGTCCTGGGGCTCTGGCTTCCAGTGAACCAGCAGCAGCCCAGGTGTTGCCTGAGGCCCAAGGTATAAGGTGATCTGCAGAGCAAGTGCTGGGGAAGAAAAGAAGAGGGTGAGATACAGCTTCCCAGAGTAGGAAGAGATGACAAAGGAAAAACAGTGAGTGGGCTAAGTCACACAGAAAAGTGTGCTGTCCTGGAGGCCATATTACAAGCTGCAGAGAGGTGTCCAGAGGTCCAGCAGGCCACCTAGGCAAAAGCTACTCTTTCATAGGAGTGCATGTGTCCAAGTCATCTCTGAAGGCTCCTACAGGTAAACTAGGGCACCACCCCCAAGATCCAGCCAAGAACCTGCACAGATTCCACAGAGAATCCCACAACACCTTCAGAAAAGACTGTACACTTTCACTCACAGCTATGTGAACAGAGATGACCCTAACTCCAGATTAAACTCAGCCATGCACTGTTACAGGAGAAAAATATGAAATGTCTCAGGAGCTGGGGATGCATTCTGAAGATGGTTACAGAGACTGCCTCCCTTAGAGGGTGGGGCACGCGCTCCACTCCACAGAGAGTGGCTGCAGCTGCTGTTCTTAAGTCTCACAGGCAAAGCCACCCACTGTCCTCAGAATCTCAGCAGGGAAAAGCCACAAGAATGATTTCCAATGATGGAATGTTCAATTGTTGCTACAAAGTGTAGAATCTGATTTGCTGAATAAAACACATTGCTACCTGATTCTTGTTCTATGTGCAAACAAGTAGTCATAATTTTTGAAAAATAAAATAACCGTGTACACAGCAAACACAAAGTACCCCCTGTGTACAACTCACCAAAAGCTCACCATCCTCCCTTCCCAAGATAGCATTCCAAATTTTATGCTTTCTAGTTTTACATTCTGGGCTGAAGTCACTATACAATATATTCTTTGGCTTTTGCCAATTTTTGCAAAATCTGTGTATTTTATACCCATTTGATTTGTATGTTTTTAACCAGAGATTCTGATATATACATTTCTTGCTATGTCTGTTACAAACATCTTTTTCAAATGTGAGGCTATTTCATTTTGTTCTTAAGATTATTTTGGGAGGAGCTAAACATGAATTTTAATGTAGTCAACTCTATCAAACTTTCAATTTAGAGTTTGCTTTCTGTATCTGATTTCAAAAGCCCTCCTTATTTCTCTCTAGTATGAGACACATGAATTATAAACTTTAAATGTGTTGTCTTTCACAACTATGGCTTTAACTACCCATGTTGGCTTCTATGTGTGTTTCTCTAAGTATCCTATTCAGTCATCCCAAGGGGCTCTTGGTGTGACCAATTATCATTACCTGTCTCTCCCTCCACTCACATACATGCCCAGCCCACCCTGCCAGGTAAGGCTGCATCATGAACAGCCTTTCTCCCCAACCCCTCTTCCACTGCCTCTCCCTATCCCTGTTTCAACTAAACCAATTGTAATTATACAAATGTCGAAAGACCAACTGTATCTCGTAGGATGAGGCTTTGCCATTTCCTCTTCAGGGAGTCCAGGCTACTCTTCGATCTTTATTTACCAGTATACACGGTAGAATCAGCTTGTTGCAAAAACAAATTCATTAGAAACCAATGGATCTCGGGACTACAGGTTACAGGCTGGGTAGACATGGCATCTGACATTGAGTCTTCTTCATCAAGGACATGATGTATCTCCTTGTATGTTCAGTCTTCTACATTGAAATATATGTTGATAAATTTGTACCATTTCCTACATAATTACCTTGCATATCTTTTTCTAGCTAATGCTCTCCCCTTGAATGATTGTTACTTAACACTCTTTTCCAATAACCAGTGCATCCTGTCCCAAAACAATGGCTACATATGAAAGGTCAGCATACAAGACTGCTGGGCTAGAAGGGTTCAGATCATGGGAATTAGTGACAAGACCCCAGCATGGATCTTACCAGTGATCAGTGAGATGTTGAACAGAAGGAAATAGAGAAGACCCCATCACAGTAGTTGATGAGATAAGGTTCCACAGAGGCCATGCTTAGCTCATTTTGCAGTTGAATAGTATTGTTGTCAAGATTGTTTTAATTAGCATGACCTTCTGTTTCCAAGTCTGAAGTAAGTAGAAATGTGTGTTACATGGACAGCACTGGAGCTCTCCTGATACAAGTGCGTTCTGTTGTAATTTCCTTCTCTCCTGGGGAGACATGCATCTCGGGTGATGAAGGTGTGGTTTGGTTAATGCTGCTCTCCTTCTTGGCAAGTAGCTTTCTAAATGTCTGGTCACAAGCCCTGCTGGGCATAGCTTGCAACTCTGCTGACTTGGTGAGCTCAACATAAATGACCATGGGATTTCTATCTGCTTCCTATTATGTAAATTTTTCAGAGTCCTGCATAATGAAGGGCTGTGGGACTCAGACACGGATTTGAGCAGAGTAGCTATGCTAGATTCTGGCCAGGGTAGAAAGTGTGGATCAGACAGAGGATAATGAGGGAGCATCCTCTGAGCAGAGAGCAGGTCCTGCTTCCTGCTGTCACCAGGCTGGCTCAGGCCAGTTTTGGTCTAGTTGTCCTATACACATGCTCTGTAAGTTCTCCACTGCCATCTGCCTCACACTAAGGACATCTCCTGGGCTGTGCAGCTGTCATCTCCTGGGGACCACAGTGACAGGAAGGAGACCTGTAGGGAAGTGGAAGACGACTTTCTGGCCAGAAGAGGTAAGATAGGCCCCCACAACTCTTAGACAGTGAATCATTGGGTAACATGCTCAGAAAAGAGCTTCAAGGCTTGTGGCACTGAGTCAGAGTGACAGAGAACCGTTCTAGGGGTTAGAAACTATCTGGGGAAATAGACATTTGTCTAAAGCCAGCATGGAACACAGGAAAATCTTCCCTTGTGAACTGACCACTAGTTGCTAAGTCTGATAGCAAAAAAGGGGAAGGAACAGAGACTAGGTGAGTCACAGAGCAGAAGGGGACACTCAGACAGAGTGTGCTTGGGACAGTGGTAGAGTCTGGAGGTGCAGTGGCCTCTTAATGAGGACAGAAGGGTGCAGATGGAAGTCATGAAATGTCTCAGCCAGGTGGATGTGTCCTGCGACAGCACTGGCCTGCCAAGATCACCTACTTCCTACACAGTCTTCCCTCCTGAATGTATGTCACTTCACTGTGGGATGATGGTGGCAAGCAGCTGCAAATGACCCCTCCTTGGGCTCTGAGGCTGGGCAGAGGGTGAGACCTGTAAACTGCATGTGAGGATGACTGG